TTTTTTATCAAAGATAATTTGTTTTGTTACATTTACATCATAAATAAAAAAATTTTATCTTTTGATTAGCACAATTCATTGTAAGATATTATATAATTAATTGTTTATAATTCCCTCATGAACGCTTTAAAAAGATATATTACGACATATACAACAAAAATATTAATAAGCTATGGAAAAATAACTAAAATAATATGGTATAAAATGAACGACTTATATATAAATAAAAATTATTTTATAAATTTCTATTTTGAAAAATTTTCGATTTTCATTAAGTAAATGACCATAAATTGTATATAATGGTTTTGCATAATATTATATTCTTCTCTTTTTTAATTACAACGATCAATATTTAAGTGTTTTAAACAATGAAGGCCAGGCGCGTAACCAATGGGGGGGAAAGGGGGAAATCTCCCTCCCATCGCAAATTTGACAGTTTTCATAATTATCATTTTAAGCTAATAAAAATTGTACCCCCCCCCTCCCAATCAAAATTTTACAAATATTTGAATATCAATTTTCCAACATATTATTCAAAAATATTAATAAAATGGAAAAATATTTAGTCAAAGAAATTGAAACCAAATGATAATTTATTTTATTATTATATATATTTATTCTATTAAATTCAAAATTATTAGAGAGTTAGAATTAATAAGTATTGTTATTAATTTTAATTATTAATAAATATCTATAACTTTTTAAATATTTTTCATTTTTACTTCCATTTGTAGAACAGAAGAAATAGAAATACAAAAGTTAAATAAGGCTGAGCATGAAAAAAAGTAAAGTGTCGTCAGAAGCGATATCATTATTGAATTCAATTGATCAATCAGAGTTTATCATTGCTGCTAGTTGCATCAATAAATTATTTTTAGCTCACTACTTTGTAGAAATTTACAAAAACCAAATTTAGATTTGGTTCAGGTTATTGATTTGGCGGAAAATATATATGAACAGGTAGATACAATAAAAATGAATGCAGATAATTATTTTCATAATATTTATCTAGACTTTGGATCGAAGGCTAAATTTTATGATATAACACTAATTAAACTTCGTCTAGCACCTAGGCCATTATTGAGATATAAAATAAATATTGGCTCAACTGAAGAATATTATAAAATATCCATTTTCATCCCATTCTTAGATACTTTTTTATCGCAAATAAAAGTACGGTTTTAGATAAAAAAACAAGTCTTTAGCAATCTTCAAGTTTTATTACCCAAAGATCCTTCTTCGTTTTCTAATGCCACTATTGGTAAAATTAAATATTTAGCAAAATTTTATTCCTATGAGATTGATACTGAAATAAATTTAATCAGTGAATTCGAATTGTGGTATAAATATTGATGCTCTCAATTGGTGTAAAGAAACCTTGGCTCAATTTCCTAATATTTTGAAGTTGTTTTATATTCTTGCATGTTTGCATATTATAACATGTACGAATGAAAGGACTTTTTCCAACTTGAGAAAGTTGAAAACATATTTACGAAGTACTGAATCTCGGCTAAATGGGTTAGCTCTGTTAAATATCCACAGAGATTTGGTTCCAACGACAAACGAAATTCTTGATGAATTGGCAACATTCCCACGAAAATATAAAATCACATTATAATTATAGAAAATATTTTGTATAATATTGTATTTGATAAGAAATTAAAAAAAACTTGTTAATTTAATTATTTTCTAGTCAATATTTTATACACACTACTATAAGTATTTTCAATAAAAAAATTATATTCTATTTATATTGTATGAGAATTTAAGCTGAGGCTAGTTTTTAAAGCAAATTTTATAAAAAAATGACATAACACTTTATTTCAACTTTACATTTAAAAAAACTTTATTAAATATAATATACCTAACTTGAAATAATAAAAAATAGGCTTGTAATATTCATAAGCAAGAATTAGTAAATAATAGTTAAAAATATAAATATAATTATTATTAAATTATGCTAAAACATAAGACCCGGCCGAAGGCTGGGGGAAAGCTGGCCGAAGGCCAGGTAAAAGGGTTTGGGAGCGAAGCCCCCAAAATTCCCCCCCCCCCTCCTTAAGAAAATCCTGGATACGCCACTGATGAATGCTATATTTAATAATATTGACGTTAGCTTGCAACGAAATTTTATCTTATTAAAATCGAATATTGTAAAATATTTAAATTGAAGAACCATAATAGTTCTTTTATAATAATTTTTCAGTAAAATGATGTTATATTACTATATTATTATATTAAATTTATTCTATTCACCATGCAAACACCAAAATACTTTTATAAACGCTCCTTTTTTAAAATCAAATTTAAAAAATATTTCGGATTACTAAGACTAACATCCATCTCTAAAATCGCATTATAAAAGTGACACGTTATCAGATCTGATTGACAAAGTGTCGTCGTGATAAAGTGTCGCTAGACGAATTTATTCGTGAGACAAACCAATTAATAATTTAAATTAAGAGAGAAAAAAATTCTAATATTTATATTTTCTTATTAATTAATATTAATAATCATTAATCACGTAAAAATGTATATTGGAATTTATTTTCAAGTAGTATTAATAACAAATATAAACTATTCATATATAAAAAAACGTTAAATAAAATATAAAATGCTTAAACGGGGGGGGGCGCAATTAAAAACATAATTAAATCCCTAAAGCATATATTTAAATATTTCAAACCTGCCTGGTAAAAACTTATGGAACCTCTTAACTAATGACAGCTAAGAGTTACCCTAGGTGATAGACTAGGCTGTGACATAATCCAACCGTATAGTTGTCTGAATTTCATATCAGTTAATATTAAGGGCAGATATGGATCAAATTGCATTAAAGGGCAAGGTCGTCAACACCGTCATTCATAAATAAATTAATTTCTCGGTTTATTCCTAAAAAGATTCGAATCCTCAATTTCAATCTCGTAAACTTTTATCAAACAATGCTTAGATGTGATGGCCTCACAACTATCTCATAGTCAAAATCTTTCATCTGGGATTATACCTGTGTTCTTATTATACTTCCCATAAATATCAATATTAAAACACGTAAGTCGAAGCAAAAAAGATAAATCAATATAAAACATTAGATAACTTTGTTTATACCCTAATTCCTATATCCACCAGTGGACAATTTTTCCCGAACACTTTTCTTTAAAAAAAACAACTTAGGCCCATAAAACACGAATCCAAGCATTAGAGGCCAAAGAATTAATTTTTTTATCACATAAAATAACAAACAATACTAGCAAACAAGTATTAAAAAATTAAAGTAGTTAAGAAAAAATTTAGACCATGAATAGAATATGATATGCCACGCAAATTTTCAAATAAAATGATTAATAATAATATATTTAATTTTGTTTTATGAATATTTTATCTTTTAAACAATTTTATTTAACCACCTTTTTCTCTATAATAGTAATTTTATCTTTGAAAATAATTTTTTTTTAACCCAATTAGTTCCCTCATAAAATTAACATGAAGCAACACGGCAAAACGATTCGATTCGAGTCTATTTTTTAAAATGGCTAATTCAATATTTTGGCCAGAAAAATGCCTAAGCCTCGAGATTTTGCTGATAATTGTCTTAATCTTTGTACCATCCATGACAATAATCTTCAAGCTTGTATAATATTTTTTTGGATAAAATATTGAGTTAACAGTTTTTAAACCACTCAAATCGAGCTGTTTAATAACACTAGTATTTATTAAATTTTTTATTGATTCATCTATAGTAAATATAAGATAAAGATAATAAATTTAAAACTCTCTCTGGTGGTTTCAATATTGACACATTATGGAAACTTTATAAGCAGTTTCTATTTTTATCTAAATAAGTGGTACGTTATATGATTTACACTACCACCTTGTTCTTCTGGGATTTAACTTTCCAATACCAGAATATATTATCCTATGCATGTATATTACTCAGGAAGCATCTCTAGGTCATAATTAATATGGAAAGCAAGCTTAGAGTTTAAATAATCTTTGTAATTGGCCATTTTTCACATACACATGGAGAGTTAAATACCTCCTGATTCGCTAGGATTTATGGGCTTATTTATTCCAATTAGCATTGAATTAAAGAATATCGATAAATAATTCGATTATATAATTGTTATAGATATCGGTTGGATGTAATGTATTAATTTTTAATTCAACTTAACTTGATAAGGATTCAAGCGAAGATCCTTAATATGGCATATCGACATATTCATTAATATTTTCAAAAAATCTAAAATTTTGGCTGAAAAATAAATAAGCTAATTTAAAAATGATAAAAAATAAGAATTTTAGATATTGAAAAGTGGCAGTGGTAATACAATATACCATATTAATATGGAAAATAAAATTATGTAAAAATAAAAATAAATATCAGAATGATAAATATAATATTTAAGAGTATATAGTTTAAAAAATATATATTTATTTAATAAATTTAAATTATAAAAAAAATGCAGCATAAAACGTGTTTTTGATAAACGTGCCAAAATATAAAAATAAAAATAACTCCTCCGCACTCATTCAAATGTCGCCATGTTGAAACCAATATTGCAGGAAAGCTTAAGATTATTTATTAAGATATCTAAATCTTATCGATGTAATAAATTATTAATAATAATGCTTAAATAAAAAATCAGAATAGGAACGCAAAAATTCACTTCTTCTCGGTCTCAGGTTTTAACAACATGCTTTATTATTTTTATTTTATGGAAGACCGTGGCCAGTTTTTAGGGACCTGATCATGGAGATTTTTATAATTATTTATATTATATAGTCATTGATTTTATAAAATTCTTTCCTTATATAACAATCGAAGTTATTTTTTCTAACTTAATTTTTAACGTAACATAAAGAAATGATGATATATCAAGTTTGTGGCAAGCATGAAATAATATAGTCTCATTTGATCATGAAGTACGAATTATTAAAAAAACTTAGACGTTACGTAACTACAAATAAATATCACATAATATTATTATTTAACACTTATATACCTGTTTGGCCTTTCCCGAGAGTTTTTTCCAATTTAAATGGCCCCACATGTTGCACTAGTATATTTTGTTGCAGAGAAGAATAGTTTCTAAATTTCTTTTCTTGTGGTGCAGACATCCACTCCTCAAGAATATCCTTATGAATATAACTTCAATATGAGGACCTAATTGGCTAGTATTTTATGTATCTTGTTTTAAACTATATTGGCGAATGGTCTGTTCATCATTTTTAGATATACCTTACATTTCAAAAATATGAAATATGTGGAAATAATATATATATATAATGTTTAAAAAACTGATTTATTTATATAATGCCGAAAATCAATAATTTTTATCATTTTTTATAGCTTATAATATAATATTCTTATACATCATTAACTCGAATTATTTTTTAATCTATAATACTACAATATATTCGTGTAGATAAAGTATAAATAAATTTATCGATATTTATTATACAGTAAATCAATATTATAATATTTTAGAAATTTTTATAATTATACATGGTAAATTTAAGATAAACCCCATATAAGGTATATTTTTTATTAATTCGTATTCCTATTTTTTTGAAAACATATCCATTTTCTTGGATTTTATAAATTTATAATGCATGATTTTTAATTTTCAAATTTATTAGCGACAACAATATATTTTAACATAAATCATAATTATTTTCTATTCGAGCAATAATTTTGAGCACTCTAAAACCCTCCCTTCTATATATTTTTTATTATAAAATTTGGTGCTCTTTGGGAGATGTAAAGGACAAGCACCAGAATCGTAACCTGAGAGTAATTCCCAGTAGATTTTTGGGCCCCTAACATAATTAAACCTTTCTATATCTAGTATACATATATTCAAATAAAAGACACTTACTTACGTACAAATAGAACTTTATAGCATAAATTAAAAAATTATTGAAAATATATACAAAATGATTGTATAGTGAATATAAATAGATTACATGATTATTAAAATATATTTTACATTTATTTCCTTCATGTTTAGAAGTTGTGGCAAAATTATAGTTTGGGTGTATATATATTAAATGCTTATATCTAAATGATTTAATCTCATTTAAGAGGATCATGTATGTTAGCTTTGAGTTTAACTTTGGAAAGTTACCTTTCGCAATTACAGTCTTCGTTAATATTAGCATAACAAACACCGTATTCTCTATTAATAAATTATAAATTATAATGAGGGATGTAAATCCTTCTACAAAAAAAGGGTCCAGGTCCGAGTTCGGGTACAGTAATAAAATTTATAAAGGGTCCGGGTTCAGAGAATAAAAAAAATGACTCAAAATAAGACTTTTTTTTATTCATTTATTAGTATACTTTAATATATACACATTCATAATTTACAAATAAAAAATTTAAAAATGAAATAATTTATATTTTAAATGTTTTATTCAATCGCACAATTATAATATCTTATAAAATATCATCCTTGAGACTTCTACGTAAATTAGACAATATATATTTCAAAGATGAAAATCCATGTTCTACGCTTACTTAAAATAGATAGTTATCTTTATAATACATAAATTATTGTACGTGTGTCACCGGTTCACCATGACGATTCTAGACAAAATATATAATTCTGGATATATTGAAGAATTTTCTTCCCAGAATTTTAAAATATTTGTATCCTTAATTATTCTCTTAACTTCTAAAAACTTTTCTATTAAAGATGTAATTGGCATTTTTTTGATTCTCCGTTCTATCTGATGATAATTTGATTTTTTTTCTCTATCTAGAGTAAAATTTCTAGATCACCAATGTTACTATCATTATTATCAACCAGTAGGTATTATTGTCGTAGCCTCCAATATATTGTAAATAATGGAGTTTTTCATATGCCATAAATCCTTGAGATGGTCTTTAGCCATTTGTTTTTGCTCAATACTCAATAAAACTTGATATCGAGGGTCTAAATATATAGAAGCTTATACGACACTATTTTGTAAATATTGTTGCTCTCGATTTTACATATTTTATAATATTTCTGAAAAGGATGAGTAAATCTCTCTAAATCAATCGGCATCTAATCCATATGTCATAAAAATCAGTTAAATATAATTGTTCTGATTAAATCTTAATGTTGTTATTTTTAAAGGAACTAATACAATAGTAAGGTCCTTTTGGCACCAATCCTCTTCCGAAAAAATGATTTCACAATCTCATATAATAAAATAATTACAGAAATCTTTCGAACTTAATAATTGTTCTAGCTTCATACAAATTGAGGACCAACGTGTTGTGCAATCTTATAATGCCATTGACCTTTTCATTGATTTTAATATTCTTACAATTGTGGGAGTTCTTAAATATTTATCAACATCCCTTGCTTTATCAATGATAGTTTTAAAGTGATTATTTTTTAGGCAATGCCAATTATAGAGTGTGGTCTGCACATCTAATGTAATATATATCTGTGGGGAAATCTATTAATAAATTTACATATAAAATATTATTACCTACACTAAAAAATATTTTATGATATCAATCTATAAATAAAGGAAGTCCAGAAAAAAAATTGAAAGAAAAACGCGAAGATAAAATAAATGATTCCGAAAAAAAGTTAAAATTAAAAAAATATTTCTATTTTTAAATTATTTTTTATGACACCTAGAATCCTTAGACCCTCCACTTTTAAAAAGAGTCCGGGTTTAAGTTCGGGTACAGCCAGAATGCGAGAGTTCAGGAGGGTTCAGGGTCCGGGTTCGGGTTCACTTCCCTGATTATAATATTTAATATAATGTGTCAAATAATTTTATAAGATTCTAAGGATTAAAAAAATTAAAAGTGTTGACAATATATTTTATGCTTCTAAATTGTTTATAAATCTAATTAAAGAATGTAAAATCCATAATCTTAAGTGTAAGCATAATATGTTAAGGTCATAACCTAAGCATTAAATATTAATTTATATTTAATAGTACAACATATTATTATGTATTGTATTATATTTAATATATTTTAAGTACTATATATGTAATACTAGCAATAGGAATCTACTTTAATTTTGTAACTGAACTTAAAGACGTAATTCGTGGGAAAGAAATTAATAATAGATAATACAAATTGTTATTTAAATAAAATTTGGGTGGCTCAAAAAAAACATTTCATTTTAAAATCTTTACAACTTTAAAAGGCATAACTGTTTAAATTTAATATTTTTAAAAAATTTAACATTACATCCTCAAATTTTTTAAGAATTTAATTGTCCTTGACAATAACTTAAGCAAGACCCATAATATTTTTTTCCAAAAATGGGCTAGAGTATGTTGGACTACAAATGTTCGCCTTATTAAAAATTTACACTAATAATAAGTTTATATGTCTATTCTTAAGAACTAAAGTCCTCTTCGATTTGCTCTACAATTGCTTAATACAGTGAATGTAGACTCGGGGTCTTGTTTTAGGAATATAAATCGCATATATCAAAGTCGCTTTAAAGTTCGATGAACTGCACGAATCTTACACTATAAATAATTCAGGAATCAAACTTTGTAATTTCAATTTCTATCCTCATAGCATAATTTTATCAATATAAGATCTTCTTTTGATGTATCTATAATTTTCAAAGGCGTTTAATAATCCGATTTGTTTAATAACCTAAATATTTTATGTTATAATTTAATACTTAGGAAATATTTGGAAAAAAGCTTACGTCCTCCTATAATCTAACATAATAAGCCTATCTAACCCCAAAATATGAATTTCAAAAATAAACGAATAATGCACTTAAGAATTGTAAAGATTTCAAAACGAAGAGTTTTTTATGAACTACTGGATATATAATAATAGTAGATCTCGGCGAATAATATATATGTGAGATCTTCAGGCCGGAAAAAAACCTGACCTATTATTATTTTGAAACAAGAATAGGATTATAAGAAAAAATTGTAATGGATATCTCTGACGGTCTCCAATAATGTAATGTATTATAAAATTTTAAGTCGCTATTAGGGAGAGACAGAAACAGACTTAGGTAGATCTGCAAAGCCAAGACCTATCCCCACGACACGTTGGCTTAGTTGCATTATGTATGGGATTTAGTAATAAGTTTGTAGATGAAAGAATTGAGCAATTATTATATTTTTAGTCGTTTAAGCCAATTTTCCAAATCTACTAAACCAAGTTACCGATAATTATCACTTTGGCCTCTGGTTCTTTTTAAAAATGATAGCAGCTCAAATTTGGCATAGATTAATATAAATAAAAAGCTTTGATATTAACGAATTTTCTCTGGCAAGCACCTGAAGATTGAGCCGAATTAGCCAATATTTATCCATTATCCAACTATAGTTAGAACCAGTTTTTCAAGGTTTAAACCGAATCGGCAGGTTAGGTCGGGTGTGATTAAATCTAGTTTTTGGATGATTCGGGTAGAGAAATTATGTCCATCGGTAGGTTCGGGTGTGGAAATATTTTTTTTACAATTTTAAATTTAATAACTGATATCCATGGTTCCGAATTAATTCTCACCGCTACCCTTCAGGTTCATATAAAGATATCAGGTTAGGATTCAGGTTTGATTTGTAAATAATAATAACAATACGGTTCAGTTTGAACCCTTAAAACCGGTTTGAACCTTTCCGCGTTCAAACTTAGAATGCGTATAAAGAGACCCATATTTTAAATTTTAATACCAAATCCCATATATAAAGCAAACTCACGCTTATTATATAATTATTCCATACTCGCGTTTCCAGAAACTTTCCATGGAAGGAGGGGGAGGGGATAATTTTTTTTTGGAGCATTAAAAATTTATTAATATCAATAAGTAATGGTTTAATTTAGGCCTATTCAAAAACGAATCGAATAATTTGTCGATACGAATATACCAATATTAAATTATCTGTTTGAATACGAATAAATATTTATTTAATTAGAATATAATGAATAATTCGCATTATTTAAAAAAAAAACAAATAATTTGAATAATTTGATTGTTCGATAATTTGTTTTTTTTATTAAAATTAATCATTTTAAAAAAATTATATAAAAATTGTTAAATATAATTATTTTCAAATTTATATTAAACAATATAGAATATATATACTTAATTTCGTAGTTTCCCTGCACCATTTTTAAACCTTTTAAAATATTACCCGCCTTTTCTTAATTTTATTGGATATTTTTTCCTAAAATCAATATTTCAAATTCAAACTCTAATAAAGATATAAATCAGAGACCTGAAAAGGTACCATTTACAGGCCTTTGCAGGGCCTGGCCTGATTATTTTAAATTAT